TATCTCTACTCAGAAGGAACATGAACAAGCCGCTAGTAGATAGGGTGATCTACGGCGGGCATATTCCCAGAGATTACCAAGAGTGGAAAAGGGAACTTATTAGAATAGACTATATTTGGAGAGAGAGAGAAAAAGAAAAGAAAGGTTCCGATACTGGGAAGAAACCCTATTCGGAACAAAAAAAAGAAGGAGAGAAGAAGAAAGACGGAACCGGATATACCTATACCGGTAGCGGAGAAAGAATGGAGGTGGACAAAGCAAAGTTCCGCACCGAGGGACGATGCTACCGATGCGGAGAAAAGGGACATAGAAGCTTCAAATGCAAAGACGCACAAAAAAGGAAGCCACAATTTAATGTCCGAGAGTTCTTAGAACAGATGACGAAAGAGGAAAGGGAAAAACTCCTTGAGGGTTTTTAAAGAGGCCAGTGGTACTGCATCGACCGACTGAGCCTAAAGACGTTTCAAATCGATTTCTTCCTTTAACTGTAGATACATATGACTCAGAATTGTTACGCTGCAGCTTTAGCGCGGATGACAATAAAACTATTTCCACTCAGACAAAGAAAAAAATCCGAAACGAAAAAGATGCAACTAGAGTAAAAGCGGCGCAGAGTGATAAGACATCCGCAGTTTCGACGGCGGGCAAATCACTAAAAAGCGCAGCATTTACGATAGAACCTAAGATTCCTACACCCAATGCGGCGAGCTCTACGGAGAAAAACGCAGCAGAGACTGTAGAAGAGAGGTCAGGAGCCCCTCTAAAAAAACCTAGAACAGAAGTCTGGACCCCAGAGTGGGTAGTAGACAGGCTAAGAGACCAAAAGGAAGAAAGATCCATTGGGATTCTAAGTGCCTGGACACATAAGAAGAGAGCGAGAGAAGTAACCCGGGAAACGATAAAAGAAATCAACCGGTTACCAAAAGTAGAAGCTATACAAGCGATCATAGAAATTGCCTCCCCAAAAAAGTACATTAGGGGCACCCAAGGCAATCAAATGAACGTAAAATGTAAGCTTACTACATTAGATACTCTCCAATCAGAAACAGTCGAAGCACTATTGGACAGTGGATGCACGGGGAGTTGCATCGACTCCCAATTTGTGAAAGACAAAAGATATGAGACAAGGAAGATACCGAGACCTATTCCAGTCTATAATGCAGATGGAACTCTTAATAAAAACGGAGCCATCAATGAATTTGTAATACTGCTCATGGAAATCAACGGACACGTTGAAAAGATACATCTTGCCGTAACCAATCTGGGTAACGGAAAAATGTTTCTAGGACATGAGTGGTTGAACAAACATAATCCTAAAATAGACTGGAAAGAATCGAAGTTGACCTTTGAAAGATGTCCTGAAGAATGCGGACCGAGAATCCGAATCTCTGATCCAGAGGAGGATCCGGAAGTATTCTTTGAGGAACTAGGAGAAGACGAGAGGATGATACAGGTGAACCTCCATAACTTCAAAGATGCCACGATCGACAATCAATATTACCATATCAGAGCCCAAGGCACAATGGCACAGAAGCTAGCAGAAGCCGCAGGCAAAGATCGAAAAGAAGGAGGATTCGAGAAGATAGTGCCAAGACACCTTCATCAATACAAAGACGTATTTGATAAAAAGGAGTTTGACACATTACCTGAAAGGAGGCAATGGGATCACGCAATCGAACTAATACCGGGAGACCACTCCCTAGATTGCAAGATCTATCCATTGGCAAGAGGAGAGCAAGAAGAGCTAGATGCGTTCCTAAAGGAGAATCTAGAATCGGGACGAATAAGACCATCGAAGTCCCCATTTGCATCACCATTCTTCTTCATTAAAAAGAAAGACGGGAAGTTGAGACCAGTTCAAGATTATAGGAAGCTAAACGATATCACTATCAAAAATAGATATCCACTTCCATTGATCGGGGAACTAGTAGACAAATTGAGTGGAGCCAAATACTTCACAAAGTTGGATGTAAGATGGGGATATAACAACATCTGAATGAGAGAAGGGGACGAGCATAAAGCGGTGTTTAGGACAAATCGGGGATTATTCGAACCATTAGTCATGTTCTTCGGACTGACAAATTCCCCCGCCACGTTCCAAACGATGATGAACACGCTTTTTAAAGAATTGATAGATGAAGGATTAGTAATCATATATCTAGATGATATCATGATATTCACAAAGGATATAGAAATGCACCGAGCAACGACGCGACGTGTGTTAGAAATCCTAAGAAAAAATCATCTCTATCTTAAACCAGAGAAATGCGATTTTGAACAGACAGAAGTGGAATACCTGGGACTGATCATCTCAGAGAACAAAATTCGCATGGATCCGGTAAAAGTAGAAGGAATTAGCAAATGGCCAGAATGCAAAAATAAGAAGGATATACAAGCATTCTTGGGATTTGTAAATTTCTATTGAAGGTTCATAGAGGGCTTCGGGGAAGTAGCCAAACCATTGACCAAGTTAACGGGAAAAGAGGACTTCATTTGGGGAAATGAACAACAAGAAGCATTTAACACATTAAAACAACGTGTAGCTTCAGCCCCAGTGTTAGCTCTCCCAGTACCACATGGCCAATACAAAGTAGAAGCAGACAGTAGTGACTTCGCTATGGGTGCTGTCTTATCACAAAGACAAAAAGATGACTGGAAGCCGATTGCATACCTCTCCAAAGTGTTAAACCCCACAGAACGCAATTACGAGATCTATGACAAAGAACTTCTTGCCATCATGACGGCACTTAACGAATGGAGACATTACTTAATAGACGCAGAAGAGGAATTTGAGATATGGACAGATCATCAAAATCTGCTATATTTCAAAGAACCGAAGAAGTTGAACAGGAGACAGGCGCGGTGGATGACGGAGTTAAGCCAGTATCATTTCACGATACATCATATGCCAGGGAGGAAGCATATAAAAGCAGATCTTCTCTCGAGGCGATCAGATCATAACAAAGGAGAAAACGACAACGAAGACGTCGTGCTACTGGATGAGAAACTATTTGTAAGAATGACTCTCTCTCCAGAACAAAGACAAAAGATCGCAGATAGTCAAGAGAAAGAATTGGAGATTTCAAAGTGGATTACAAAGAGAAAAGGAAATGTAGACGAGCTGATAAAAAAGATGAAAGGAAAGATAGAAAGGAGAGAGGATGGATTGCTAGACGAAGACGGTTGCATAGTATTCAAAGGCAGGATCTATGTACCGAAAGATGCCGCGTTAAGGGAAGAGATTATCCGACGAAACCACGACTCTGTTGTTGCAGGCCATCCAGGAAGATATAAAACCAAAGATTTAATCACTCGACAATACTGGTGGCCTTACATGGACAGAGATATCACGAGATACGTAGATGGATGCGAAGTCTGCCAAAGAACTAAGACAGACCATAAAAAGAAAGCAGCACCGCTTCATCCAAACAAGATCCCGGATAAACCTTGGCAGATCATATCAGTAGATCTGATCGGACCGCTACCAGAATCAAATGGATATAACATGATAATGGTAGTAGTAGATCGATTCACCAAGATGATCAAGGTAATTCCCACACAAATGGAGATCACATCAGAAGGAGTGGCACAATTATTTAGAGATCATGTATTCAGAAACCACGGCATACCCGAAAAGATCATCTCAGATCGGGGACCGCAATTCGTTTCGAAATTCATGAAAGATCTATATACGCTTCTTCAGATGAAAAGCGAACCAATCAACAGCTTGGCATCCACAACAGATGGACAAACGGAGAGATCAATCAGGAGATAGAACAGTATCT